GGTCGTTTTGAGACAGGGTCTCCCTGTAGCCTGAGCGATCCTGGAACTCACTATATAGACCAGGCTGGCCTTGAACTCACAAATGCCCACTGCCTCTGCCTCCCAAATGCTGGGAATACAGGACTGCACCACCATACCTGGCTAACAAGGATTTAAAAAAATAATTCTATTTATTATTTTTATTTTATGTGTATGAGTGTATTTATTGCCTGCATGTATATGAGTGCACCTGTGTCATGCAATGCTGCAGAGGTCAGAGAGGGTTTCGGAGTCCCCTGGAACTGGAGTTAAGGACAGTTTGTAGCCACCATATGGGTGCTGGAAATCGAACCCGGGTCCTCTGCAAGAGCAGTCAGTGCTCTTAACTGCTGAGCCGTCTCTCCAGCCCCATAACAAGTGTTTTAATAACTACAAACTAATTTAAAAATAGCCAATTGTTGAGTTTAATTATGGTATTTCATACATATATGCCATTGTACTTTATTCATATTTTCCCCCACCCTGTGGCCCTCTCTTGTCTTTACTCCCTCCTCCCACTAGGCTCCCTCTGTTTTGGGGAGGAACCCTCAAAACAGTTTTTGCGTTCTGGAGTGTATAGGGAAAACATACAGTATTCATTTTTCATCTTTCTTCCCCATAACTCTTTGGTTCTTCTTCCAGTATCTACTCTAAAATAAATCAGAAAATGTGAAGACAGACTGATTCAAACACCTTTCATTAGCATCTGTGTCTGAAGTTTAAAAAATGAGTGTGTGTGTGTGTGTGTGTGTTTTCTTAAATGAATTTTAAACTATAAAGTGCTGCCCTGTGGCCTGAGATGTTTGTAGAATTTAGGCATACCAGATGGTGCTTTCTCTTGTACAAATCAGTACACATAGACATATATGTTTGTATGTATGTGAATGTACCTCTCTTGCTTCTAATACATGTTTCTTACACATAAAGAAAATATTGCACTCTGGATTTTACCATAATGTTATGCCACAATTGCTGACTGAAATATCAATATCAGGAAAGTCTAACCCTGAAGGCAGCCTGATTTCACCCACAGTAAACCATTTAGCCCTGCTGGAAGTAGAGAAGGCAGTCCACTGTGCTCTGTTAGCAACAGTCTGTCATGAGGGCACAGGTGAGAAGCCATAGATATATTGGGAGTTTACTTAAAGAGCATCTTCTCGACATTGGAAAGGTTCCACAGTTAAATATAGATTGGTGGGACACATAGGGGTCTCCTGCCTACACCTGTGTCTTCAGATGGAGCCTATGTCCCTTTGGTTGATAGATTTTTGATAAGTATTCTCCAAAAATAAATTGGTCATAAATACTGTGATTTTAATGATTAAAAAAAACCTTGACTATATATTTACTTTTAGTATATGTGTTATTCTTTTTTAAAATTTGTTTTTATTAAATTTTGTTGTATTTCATACAGAATAATATCTCAAAACAATCTGAATCATCTTTTAGCCCCATCCCCACCAGAACCCTCCCATAGTCCCCCCACCCCACTGAAACCCATGTACTCTGTCCTGGGTGTTAAGGCCCACTGCATCAAGTCAGTTTGACTATATTTATAAAGAAAACTTAAAATACCAATTTTTTTCCCTAGCAAAAATAAGTTTACCAGAGTCTTCCTTTTATTAATATATTTTGGCAAAAATGTTAATAGACTAAGAAGAACAAAGCATAATACTATGTCTCTATGAAGACTAGGCTGGAGATGGCTCAGTGGTTAAGACCACTAGCCGCTCTTCCACAGGACCCAGATTTGGTTCCCAGCACCCACATGGTGGCTGCCAACCATCTGTAACTCCAGTTCCAGGGGATCTGATGCCATCTTCAGGCCTCCGTGGGCTTTGCATGACAGAGGCACATTGTACCTTTCATGCAGACAACATGCTCATACTCATAAAAACAAAAGTATGAAAAAAAAAAGAAAGGTCACAGTGAAACCCATTTCTTTGTATGCTGATCAAAAAGTTAATATTAAACAAACATAAATGTGTTCTTACTCTGGTCTTGTAGTACAGACCTTCTACTTCAGAGTCCTGACCTCACTTAGCAAGTTGTTTCTAGAATAGCCCCCTAACTGATCATTTAGAAATAAGAGCCTTTGTTGCCTGTATCTTGCATCTTTCACTCTAATTAAGAATGTACCTTTATCTTTCCCCACCAGTATGACGCACAGTTTCCTCTTTGGAGCTATGGCTGAGTTGCTGGACAATGCAAGGTAAGATGAATCTGTGAGCAAAGATTATAAAGGGAATTTCAGGATGCAAATCTAGCCTAATTATATGTGAATTAAAAACATAATGCCATTATCTCTACAGGAAAAAAAAAACACCTTCACCATTACTTAATTTGTATTTATTATCAGACTTGAAGTCATGGGAAATTGGATTTCTGGTTTTGTGTTAGTTGCCCCATAGAAGCAGATGTTCACTTGAATGAGCTGTTTCTTGAATCTTGTCATTTGAGCTACGTGTACAGTGTCTTTAGGATTGAAGTTTGGGTTTGAGCATTTGTTAAAATTTGCGTTGAAGCAAGCTGTACTGAAGAAAATGGCTGTTGCCATCTCTCACTGTATGCCAGGTGTTCACACACACTATACACATGTCTCAGATCTTCTCTGTGGGGCTGCTTTGAGGTGGAAATCATCGTCTCAATTCTATACATGTGGAAATTGGTGCACAGAGAAATAGGTGGTTTATGAAAAGTTATACAATTGCCATTTAGTACAGTTCCTAAAAGTTACTCAAATGCTGTTAGAATTCAAGTTTATACCATTTGGCATCACATTTTACTAACCCTGACAAAGATATTGAGGTTTAAATAGTGTCTTTAACAATCTAACTTCTATTTAGTAGTGTATTTTGAGAGACTTGGGAGGGACTCAGTTTTTTTTGTTTTATTTTATTTTTTTGAGACAGTGTCTTATCATGTACCCCAGGCTGGCATCAAACTCTCTGTATCATCCAGGCTAGCCTCAAATTCATTTCTCTTGCCTCAGCTTCCTGAGTGTTAGGATTATAAGTCTGCACCACCACACCTGGCTCAGACTACCATTTTTTTTTTTTAGCTAAATAGAATATTGACTTGTTTATATTTATATTTTCTTGTTACAGAAGATCTTTTTTTCTTACTCTCTTAGCAGAAAGTAAAGTCTACCTAGGAGATAGTATGCAGTTGCTAGATGAGGGATCATAGTGGGGGAACCTAAATTCCCTACCACTAGTGGATAGCAATATTTTAGCTTTTTGCATTTGTTCCTCATTTTTGACCTTGGAAATAAGATGGCCCTTCTGAGAGTGTGCACAGAAAGTGAAGTAATTAGCCAGCCAGTTAAGAATTCCTCCCACAAACAAACAAATTGCTAGCTCCTTTTTCTTTATTTTCAAAGAAGCTATGTGTAAGAGAGGAAGCGCTCTGCTAAAAAAAAAAAAAAAAAAAAAAAAAAAAAAAAAAAAAAAAAAAGGTCAGCCAGAGGGCCATGAACTCAAGTCAGAAGGAACCAAGAGGGTTGGGACCAGGACCAAGGAAGTCAGGTTGGTTTCTGGTAGTTTGGGGGAGCCTGCTGCTCCTTATTGCCTCCTGTAGGCAATCCTCCTGCATTCATGGACCCTGACTGCTTCTAAATGGTCTGTTTTTAGGAGCTTCACAGATCTCTTACTCTGAAAGAACAGATCTTTGTCTATTTATCCAACTGCCTTTTCTCCCTTGAAGTTGTTTCATGTATTCACTTGACAAAGGAGGATAGGTAAAATCAGAATGTACCAGGACACACTGCTTTACATAGTAGTTGGTATGCAGGGTGACTGGGGAAGAAACATTAACTTTGGGTTTTGTAGTGAGAGCAAGAAAATAAGTTCTTGGAGTTGCATTCATAGACAAACAGCCCCTTGATCAAATCTAGCTTGTCTCATGTTTGCTTGGCACACAGTGAGTGTATGCACAGTGTTTAGGAAGAAGGTTGAAGAAACAAGAGGCAGACTGGGGGTGGCCTAGTCAGTAAAGCACTTGCCTTGCAAGCACGAGGACCTGAGTTCATTCCCCAGAACCCATGTCAAAATGCTTGACTGTGGTGGCATGCATTTGTAATTCCAACACTGGGGAGGTGTTGACAGGAAAATTCCTGGGGTGTACTGGGCAGCGAGTGTAGCCTAATTGGTGAACTCCAAGCCAATAAAAGATCTTTTCATGAAGGAGACAGATGTTGTCCTCCAATTTCTATACTTCCTCATACATAAGAACATGCATTGGCATACCTACATGCACCCGTACCCACACATACACATATATGCACATGCATGTGCACCTATGCTCACATACATACACAAAGAGAAAAGAAACAGGAGGGACCATGTTAAGAAATCGTGGTCTCCTGCCTTCTTTGACATAATGAGAAAAATAGCTTCCTTAAGACGAGTCCTCTATGATCAAGGACTGGAGAGGAGCAGGCTCGGGACCAGGCTCTGTAGTCTGCTTTGCTTCATTTCCGTGCTGCTCCCAGATAGCCCAACCCTGTCACTTCCTCTGTCTTCAGTGGATACTAGCATTTTCCATTTCTGCTTAGATGCTGATATTTAACATCAAAAGAAGACACATTCTTTAACACCCTATTTAAGATGCTCAGTTGGCCTCCTGAAGGTTTTGTAAAATCACCTATTATTCTAATACTTATTTTGTATTCAAGATTTTGGTGAGTTCCTGTGCTAGTGAAGATTAGAACTGAAGTGTGTTAAAAGAATATTATGTAGAGAAGAGAAAAAATGTGATAATGTAGGAAGGTGTCCTCCCACCACAGCAGCTACTCAAAGAGGAAGTTTCCTGTGTTAAAGCATAAAAATTATTATTGTGAAATATCTCAATATGTTGTAAAGTCATAGGCTTTCTAAATAAAGAAACTGTTGGCTTAAGAATTTCATCTTCAGACTGGAAGTGTGGCTCAGTGGTAGAGTATTTGCATCTCATGGGCCAGGACCTCCATTTGTTACCCAGCACATACACAAAAAGACAAAAACCCAAACAAACCTTTGATTTCAGCTCAGTGGCATTTACTAAACACCTCTTGTGTGCACGGCACGTTGTAAAATGCTAATTGTAGAATGCAAATATGGATAGTTGCATATGATACCATGATAAGGATTAGAAGAGAATTTTCAGAACTCAGAATTTCACTCTTTATTTGACATGTAGGAAATACTTAAGAAATGGCAAGGATTTCTGTGTAAGGAGAACTTTAAAAGCTGGCTAAAGGAAGAAGCAAAAGGGGCTAACCTAGGCTAGCAGAGTGAGTACAGTATGCCTACTCTCAATTTATTTGGTGTACTTTTTTTCTTGGTCTTTTTGAGAGTCTCCCTGTAGCTACAGCTGGCCTGGAACTCACACTGTAGACCAGGCTGGCTTTGATCTCACAGAGATTTGCCTCCTAGGTGCTGGAATTAAAGGAAATTTTATACAATATTTTGGTCATATACAGACCCCCTCCCCATCTGATTTCTCCCCTTACTGACTCCTATCCAATTCATATATTCTGTTTATGTTCATATATAAGGACCTGCGTTCACTCCCCAGGATCCATGTCAAAATGCCTGACTGTAGTGGCATGCATTTGTAATTCCAACACTGGGGATATATATATATATTCAATTTTTAAAGGTCTATTGAATCTAATTTGTGCCCCCAAATGTACTTCAATGTGGGTTCATCCACTGGAGCCTGGTTAACCTACCTAGAGTCAAACTCTTAAAGAAGACTGACTTTCCCCCTCCCCAGCTATTGGTTGCCAGTAGCTCCTCAGCTAAGGCTGGGGTTTCTTACTCATCTCCTCACCTTTATGCTGGGATTTGTTTTTGAGTCTGGAGGAAATTCGAGGAGAGTTGAGGTTCCCCATCACTGGTTATCGCAGTTATTATGCTGAGTCTCTCTTTTTCACCCTGGGCCTCGTGAACTCTGTGCTGAGCTACCTCCAGCCCCTGCCCTTCCTCTCAGACTCCTCTTACCTGAGCTTCTTCCTTACCAGCTGAGGTATCATTCCTTTCACACCAGTGATATCAAAGCCCAGTCTTCTGGTGCTTCCTTCTTTGCTTTATAAAGTTTTGCTTAACAATTATTGAAAATACAAAAATGGCTCTGAATTTAGAAAAATAAGGAAAAAAAAACCAACAGAGAATCATTTTATCCTTGAAGGTTGTCTAGACTCTGTTAGAATGACTCAGTCCTGTTCATAGTGCTAAGAAAACCATGGTCCATGCTTAAATGAATGAGTGTGACTGAGTTCCAATAAAACTTTATTTACAAAATAGTTGGGGAGCAAGACTTGATTCATGGGTCATAGTTTGTTTAATTCTGACCTAGAGAAAACCTTTGTTAACAGTTTGAGGATTGTGGCATAGCTCATTAGGGAAGCACTTTCCTAGGATGCATGAGATCTTGCCTACCACCCTTAGAGTTGCAAAAATATTTTTAAAAATTAC